TTAGGTTTATGTTTCTGTGTTATAAAACCCTAAACCACCGTAATGATATATTTATAGGCTCAGAACAATAAAACCCTAGGCCTTGTATAATTAGAGACAGAACCCTAATTTAAATCCCAATCGGCCACAATGTGAATTCTAAGAATTAAACCTACTTTTTAACATTATAATAGTTATACTAATTTAATCTAATTAAACAAGTGAATTCCAAATAGAAAATACAAATAGACAATTAAAGAAAATAAAAACACAATAATTAAATAAAACCATTAATCAGTTAATTCAAATAGTAAACCCAAATAAACAATTAAACAAATATTAATTAATTAATTCAAATAATAAACACAAATAAACAATTAAACAAATAAAAATGCACTTAAATAATTTATTAAAATACCAGGACTATCATTTTAAAAATTAGGGGTATTACATTTTGTACGGATTATATTTTTTTATTGATACGTTTTTGGAAAGTTTATTTTTAATTGATATTACTACGTGGCTTCTACCGGACAAAGTTATAGTTTATCACCGTGAATGTGAAGAGACTGTCATCAAATGGCCATATGCGAAGTGAACATTCAATTATTAAATCAAGTTATTCTAAAACACTATTTTTCCCCCTCCAATACATTATAATATATACAAGTGTCTAACATTTGCATGTTAGTATTATATATTTTTGGACAAAAAAACTATCAAGAGAATATTCTTACCAGAAATACGTGTTCTCTTCCCATAATTGAAGACATCACTCAATTTAACAGATAGACGTTAACATCAACTGATCAAACTTGAAGAGCTGACTTTCAAGAAAGTTAAATTCAACCGCACTTAAAGTTAATTGTTCAGTGATGTTTCTTTTATGAGAAGTGATAGGTATTCCGATTTCAATTGCTGACTCCTCCTCCGAATACAACGTGATCGGGAATAAGTCGAAGAGAAAGAGATGTTTATGAAATTTCTTTTAAGAGTTCCAACGTAATCCAACCACGTTGTATTCAGAAGAGGAGTCGAAAATTGAGGTCGGAAGACCCATCATTTCTCTTCTTTTATTTCATAAAATCAATAGTTGAAGGTAACAATACTTGGAATTAATTTATATTTTACATGCCATGAAAAATAAAAAATAAATAAAAATTGGTCCTGCGTAACAAATACAGTTGAGATTTTGTATATTTTTAGTTTATGGGCTTTTACTGTCATTAATCTTTTACTAGTATTTACACAAAATTGGTGGAGGCATAAGAAGAAATTAGAACCACAATGCCATGAAATAATGCCTTTGAAACAGAATACTTCACGTTTTGAACTACAAAAACATTTCATTTAGAGAAAAGTGCAAAAAACCCCCTTGAACTATGGGGGTTTTGCAACTAACCCCCCTGAACTACAAAAACCCCCTTGAACTTTTAATTTGTTGCAATTTGCTCACTCAGGCCACCGGAAAAGTAAAAGATAGTTTTACCCTTATACAAAAAACCCTCTTGCTTATACTTTCATACTGCCTTGCATGTATTCCCTTCATCCTCACCTTCCGCACCAACGTTGGGAATGACATGCGTTACGTCACCGTCTTCATCGATCGCGATCCTTCTTTCAACATCTATGAGAGGTCATCATCTTCTTCTATGTTTTCATGTGTCAATGGATTGATTTTTTTTGGATTTTATGAAATTAGGGTTCTAAAGAATTAGGGATTTGGCCTTCCCTTCTTTTTTTTGTTTGCTCTGCAACTCTAAAGAATTAGGGATTTGACTCCAATTCATCCATCCATCACACAAAAAAGGGACAATTTTTTAATAATTCAACTCAATCCAATACAGAAGAACACCCATCTTCTCTCTCTATATATATGTACACAAATGAATATACAAATAAACTAAGTAAATGTTCTGGGTTTAATTGGGTTACATTAATTGGGATGTATATACATATAAATCAAATGGATATTTTGTGTATTCTGGGTTTGAATCACACCTTCTCGCTCGCCATCATCGTCGTCGCCGTCCTTGTGTTCTCTAGTAAGAACATTGTCGCTGGGAATGTTGGGAGAAGCCGAATCAGACGTCGTCGTCGAACCTACAGTCATAGTCACTTGATAACGACAACGACGAGCCTGGTCATCCTTGATATCGATGACGTCGCTCTTGGGCATCGCCGACGAAGCCCCACCATCACCACCGGAAGAAGCTAGAACGGAGGAAGGAGGTGGGAATTATCCGATGCGAACACCTCCTGGAGGAATTTTGGATCACAAGTTCCTCTCGCCGAGTCCATACATCACTACTATCCTCTGTTATCAAGCTCCGCTCGCTGCCGCCGCCCACTGCAGTCTTCTTGTCTCCGCCGGATCCGCCGCAGCCGAATCTGTTCTCACGGAACCGAATCGGTAACCGTAGAGCCATACATCGGAAGATGAGTCTTTGTTGTTATTCGTTTTAGAGAGAGAAAGTGAGCGTTGTGAGATCGATTCGAAGTCCAAAATTTTCAACTTTGGCCTCGTGAGATCGATTATTTGGGGTTTTGATTCGAATTCAAAGAAATCATTTTCAATAAATATGTCTGTATGTGTATGTATAGATATATATGTGTCTGTAGCGACCCAGCAAGCTATGGATCGTCGGCGCCATTTCTGGATTTATCCTTGCCGGATACCTCGTCGGTTCGTCCACTGTCCTCTATCCTTATGCCGCTGTCTTTTGTCCTCGCCGGATACCTCGTCGGCGCCGTTTCTGGGTTCGTCGGCAGCAAAAAATCCTACCACTTGCAAAGTTAGTGATTTGGGTTTTTTTTTGTTTTTTGGCCGAATATGATTTTTTGGTGAAACTTGGTAAAGCCATGTTTAGTTATTTTTTTTTGGGAAAGCCATGTTTGGCTTTGTTGCTTAGGACTGGGATATTGAGGTCTGATGGTTGGAAATTGAGGGCACTTACGTCTTTTCATGCTTATAAGGGCAATATGGTCTTTTAAAATAATTTAACAAATTTTAACAACTAATTCTCACCGGACCTTGGCCGAATGGAGTCATCTGCAACTTTTTTGCATAGTTCAGGTAGTTTTTTGCATTTTTGATAGTTCAAGGGGTTAGTTGTGGATTTTCTCAAGATTTATGTTTTTTTTGCACTTTTCTTTTTCATTTATTATATATATACGCGCGCGTGTAGATATATATATATATATATATATTTGTATATTTAATGCGCAAACAAGAAGTACGCATATGGAGGGATGGACTATGATATTGACTACATTTTTATGAGATTTAATGCAGTAAAAGGAGCACAGAGATTTTCAAGCAAAACAGTTTTGGACAAGGAAAAACTAGTAAGTGTATACTCTCGCAATAAACAACTCTTCGGTTCGTTACAGGTTTGAAGGGAGTGTCTTACTAATTAAAGATGGTTAGATTTAACTACAGAAGTTAACATCACCTAATGAACCTCTTGGGTAATTAGACTAATCAGATAATTAAATTCAATGAATTAAAGTCAACATCACTCAATGAATATTTTCAATGGTTAGAGACGAATAAATGTTATTAATGCAAAATCTTGTACGATTTGTGACCGACTTAGATTGGCACCGACATAGCATTGGGGAAACGAATACATATTGTTAATGTAAAATTTTGAACGATTTGTGACTGACTTAAATTAGCACTGACATAGCGTTGGGAAAATTCCAGAGAGTATAACACTATCGATCCATATCAGATGTCAATATCACTCAATAAAGTACTGGAAAAGAATAAGTCTTTTTTAATCTTATTAATTTTTTTAACAATTTATTAGAGAGTATAACATTTGATTATTAAAATTATAGATTATTTTGAACATTTAACATTTTAGGTTCACGGTATTTACTTGCTTATGTACTTAAATGCGAAATAAGTATTTTACATTAGTTTACATATGCAAGTAAATGCTATGCACCAAAGTATGTATAAAAATATGTATACGTGTATAAATTTATGTATAGGTGTATATATACGCCAAAGGAAATTTTTACATAAAGAAACTGAGAGGGGGAGGGCTGAAAGGTCATTTCCAATGACTTGAATAAGTCAATGGGGCCAAACATCCCATTCAAAATCTGAGCCCAAATAACCGATGGCCGAATGACTAGACCTTGGTGAGCTAATTCATTGCGGCCTCTAAGAGTCCACAAAGGAGAGCTCGTAAGTCGGAGAAAGTTTGATGGCAGTTTTGCAGTCGCTTTCACGTTCACGTCTTCGTCTTCGCCTTTGTAGAACAAGAAAATGAAGGCCAACTTTGAGGAGGACAACTTTGACAATCTTTCCAATGTTAATTAAATACCTTAATGAAAGAGGAATCCCCTACGGCGGACCTACTGGAGTGAGACCTCAAAAAATGAACTTCCTCCCATGGCTTTGGAATTTTGCATGGAATTGAAAAGGGACCACTTATCCTCAAGCCTCCTCCAATGGCTTTGGTATTTGGTAAGGAATTGAAAAGGGTCCACTTATCCCACTAAGAGGACTTGGAAGAAGAGTGTAGGGCACGCTCAACTCAGTGTTTCACATAAGGGTATTCAAACTGTCACACAAATAAGTATATTATTTTTATTTAATTTTTTTATTATGTAATAACTTGTTATTGGCCGGATTATATAATTCTAGACCATATAAATTGAAAAAAAAAAAAAAAAAATGGTCCGGAGGCTATTGGTCATCACCAATCAATTGTACTTGAAACCTGAACAAAAATTTAAAATATTTAAAATATTTTTTCAGAAAATATTGTATTCCTAAACAAACGGAAACCTAGCAAATGCCGAATTGAAAAAGCAAGCACGAGTGCTTTGTACTAAGTGTAGCACTCGCTAATAGTAGATATTTTGGTATGAAAGAGAGGTCCTACAATCGATGCACGTGCTATGTCCATGTGACACATCCCGGGCTGGCGACTTGTTGTGGTATACAGTATTTATGCGTAGATGTCAGGAATAGTTTAATACCGTCAATTTGATGAGTAGGGTAGCTGCCCAAGATTGAGAGGAGGAGCCAAATGCCCTAATCAGGTTTGGCCCCGAGTGTCCAAACTTTATAAAGGCGAGGCTGCTGTTAGATTCATTTATGTAGAGAGAGAGAGAGAGAGAGAGAGAGGTAGAGGAGAGAGAAGAAGAAATGTTGATGGGATCCAAAGAAGGATCCTCATGGAGCACTACTACTACTGACTTTGAGATGAGCCAAGGTATGTGCATCTTTCAGCTTACTAACACAACATCTTCGTTCAAATTCATTCATTGTCAATGCCATTGTTTCTGTCCAAGAATGGCCCATTTCAAGAACTGGGTTTCAATTGCATTTGTTATTTAAACATCCCATGTCGCATCAATAAATTAAGCATGAAATGTGGTCGTGGTCTCCAAATTGGTAATGGCAATGATAAATTGTGTGCATAGATGTAAGGTTTCACAACAACATTTCATGTTTTCTTGATGTAACAAGAAGTTCTTGCGTTTTGAACAGAAATTTCTTGGACATGCTTTTTACCTGTTTTTATCAGCAAAAATGTTAACAAACCCCATTATATATAATTAATGTCTTTGGTTTGTGCAAAATGTAATACTACAAATGGTGTACATGGTGGGGAAAAAAGCTTTGTTAATTCGATTTTGTTAATTCAATCTCGGTCTTTACAGATTTTAGCCGTCCTCCGGTCTTCTTCTCGAATTGGTCTGCCGATGAAGATGGTGGACTTAGTAAGGATGTTTCGGGTTTAATGGCGCGGTCTATTAATGGTGAGAAGAGAGAAGGAATGGCCATCAATGGAGGTAATAAGGCCATCAATGGAGGAGAATTCGACCCAAGTGCGCCGCCTCCATTCAAGATTGCTGATGTTCGAGCTGCTATTCCCAAGCATTGTTGGGTCAAGAACCCATGGCGGTCTCTGAGCTATGTTGTGAGGGATGCTATTGTAGTTTTTGGTCTGATGGCAATGACAATTTACTTGGACAGTTGGGTTTTTTGGCCTCTGTATTGGGCTGCTCAGGGGACTATGTTTTGGGCATTGTTTGTTCTTGGTCATGATTGGTAAATCCCAATTCCCAAATTAATACAATCTGATGGCTTTACTTTTGTTTGGCATAGAGTATAGTAAACAATTGTTCCAATGATAATTTGTTGTGAATTGTGTTCTGTTTTGGATTTTACAGTGGCCATGGAAGCTTTTCTGACAATCCCAAGCTGAACAATGTTGTGGGACATGTCTTGCATTCTTCAATTCTTGTACCTTACCATGGATGGTAGGTTTCTGATTATGCTTTTGTTCATACTGTCCCTAAAATTAGTCCCAATTAACTTGACATTTGCCTATGCTAGGTTTTTAGTTTATTGAGACCTGAATTTTAAGGTATGCTATTGATATATACTACAGGAGAATCAGCCATAGAACTCACCATCAGAACCATGGACACGTTGAAAATGATGAATCTTGGGTGCCGGTAATGGTTCTTTCATGTTCTTACCTCTATCTACTTAACCCTTTAGCTATTTATTTGTCAATGTATCCTTTTTCGTTATTAGTTTCTTGACAATTCCTCTGTTTATATCATATATGTTCATATGGTACAATGTTTTATGCTTAATTAGTTAATGGTTATGGTTCCAGATACCTGAGAAAGTATTCAAAAATTTGGATGATGCTACCAAAACCTTGAGATTCACAATTCCATTTCCCATGTTTGCATACCCTTTGTACCTGGTGAGAAAATTCATTTGTTTCTTGGTTCATCTTTCTTTATAAGTTGTAGTACTAGTAGTTGAACTAAGTTGCTTCTCTCTTCCCTCCTAATGACTTGCATTACAGTGGTCAAGGGGTCCGGGGAAGGATGGTTCTCACTTCAACCCTTACAGCAACTTGTTCCAACCCAGTGAGAGGAAATATGTGATTACTTCAACTGTATGTTGGACTCTAATGCTTGTTCTACTTGTCTACCTATCCACCATAATAGGGGTAGTTCAATTGATGAAGCTCTATGGCATTCCCTACGTGGTAAATTCCTTAAAAAATTTCTAGAATTCTAAATTTGTTCTCACTTTCTTAGCTTTTAAGTAAACCCACATCTATTTACAGATTTTTGTAATGTGGCTGGATTTTGTTACCTACCTGCATCACCACGGCCACGAGCAGAAACTTCCTTGGTACCGTGGCAAGGTACTTGTAACTCTAGCTCTGTCTCTCACGGAGGATTTATTGTTTGAAAAAAATATGTATACTTACCTATGTATTGAACAGGAATGGAGTTATCTTAGGGGAGGGCTTACAACAGTTGACCGTGATTACGGAATGTTCAATAACGTACACCATGACATTGGAACCCATGTTATACATCATCTATTCCCTCAGATCCCACACTATCACTTAATAGAAGCGGTATTTAATTTTGTTACCTTAAACCATGATTTTCACAAGCACTTCCCAATAAGTGTATACTGAATTTGATCTAACAATTTGGTATTGTCATGGCGCAGACAAAAGCAGCTAGGCCAGTGCTTGGAAACTACTACCGAGAGCCCAAAAAATCCGGGCTTATTCCATTTCACTTGATCAGTAATCTAGTAAGAAGCATCAAGCAAGATCACTACGTCAGCGATACTGGAGAAATTGTGTATTATCAGACCGATCCTCAATTGTATGGTTCTAAACAGAGCAAGAGAGAGTGATTTTTGAAGTTTTGATCAATTAGCAGGGGAAGTAGTCCAGCAATAGTGACACCAATCTTGCCTAACTACGAAAATTAGTAAAGATTATGTTGCTCTCAGTATGTAGGTTGTTTCTATGCCTGCAAAATAATGTCCTCTCTTCACTCCGGGATAAAGAACTGTTGTAGTTTGTAGTCATGTTGTTATGATATCTTAAGCTTTATGTGTCTGCTGAGGACAGAGAGATTATCCTTAAGCAAAGCTATGTCTATTTTTTTCAATTGAAGTCTTTATAGAATAAAAATTTTGCCCAAAGTTTACAATTCTATTCAAGAATGCTTTCAGTGCCTCATGCTTTATTATAGATTTATATGCACCATATACATTTTGATCTTATATTAACTCAACACACACTTGAGAAGAAAAGGCAATTATTCAATTTTGGTACCAGTTGGGGAAAGCCAGATATGCATTTCGCGTATAGTGAGAGACACTTGAACACTTGAATTTTCTTTTCTATTTTCTGTTTGCTCAAGGGACATTGCAAATACCATGAAAGTACAAAATGCGTTGTGCCAGGAACTCTGGCAATTGTCATGTCAAGAAAGACTTGAGGAGAGAGAATCCGGTCTTGTGCACGGAACGCCTCCTTGTGCACGGCACCATGCTGTACACGGGAAAGGATCCGGGTTCCGGACTCGGACACTCATCTAAGTACATTCACGGATGATCTTGTAAGAGAGAGAGTTCACTGATTGGGCAAGGTTAAAACTTACGAGTACATAAAATTTTACACTTGCCCAATATACACACGCATATATTAATCTTGCCTCCCGATTAGATAGGGAATTTATGGCCATAACACCAGTATGGCACAAGGATGAACCATAATTGAATTGATGTTGTGCCCACATCCTCCAGTACCCAAAACCTTCTGATAAATACAACGAACATGCTGGCATTGTTGACTCTTTTAAACCTCCGGATGTTTTTACCCGTAACTTCCAACTGTGTATGAGACCACCCATTTATGTCCCATTATGGGCTCTCATTAGTTAGAAAGCTACTGCACTGTGCTTGATATATATTTCATACATATATATATATATATATATATATTTTTTTTTTTTTCAATAAGCATTTGGTTTTGCATAGTTAATTCTGCAATTTTTGCTGAAAATATTACTACAAGTGCTTATTTTATTATGGACAATACTTAGGTCCTAATTAGTGAGAATCTACAATTAGGGATGGCAATTTGTGTTCGTGGGACATAATCGTGTCGTGTGGATGTAAGGGTATTATACTAAATAGCAGGGTTAGTCATGAGATTTCTAAAATTTTGAGAAGCCCTAAGCGAACTTTTAAATGCGAGGCCTTTATACATAAGGTTTCACCCGTACAAAAAATTTATAAGAGTGCAAAATTTTCATTAAGATAAATGGTAAGCACCAAGAGCAACTCGAAATAATTTGGCGCCTTAGGCGATTTTTTTATTTGTAAGAGTGCGGATTTTTCATTAAAATAAAAAATAAGAAGGGGGGCTCAAAATAATTTGCGGAGTTAGGCGGAAAAAAAAAATTATATATATATATATATATTTTTACAAAAATGCAAAATTTTCATCAAAATAAACTACGAGTCTCCCTTAATAATTTGGGGCCTTACGCAATATATAAAAAGTGACCTTTTAACAATATATTAATATTATATAATATTTATTTAAAAACCATCATTCTTACTTTTGTGAAATTAAAAATTACTAATTAGATTATTGTATTTAAGTTTGGTTAAAATATAAAAATATATGAAAAATATATATATATATATATATACACACACATAAATTTATAATAACAAAAGTTAAAAAATAATTAATGAAAAAAAACAATAGAATCCGATTTAGAAAACCCCAATTCAATGCTCCTAAAATTCTTCAATAGGATAAAAATGGGTTCAAAGCGAGAGTAATGATTATTGAGTGGAGGAGAAAAAAAACTGCTCCAATTATTGAGTGGAGTATAAATTTGTAATGAGAGAGGAGGGAGACTCTCAATTGTCACCCCCTGGCCCCTTTTGCTGACTTATTGAGAGAGTTATGTGATGAATAAGAAAATAAATAAATAAAAGAAAGAAGCAAGAAAAAGAACATGGAAAGAAAGAAAAATTTAGTGTCCGTTGTAAAAATTGCCGAATGAGAGAAAGGGAAGAAAAAAAAAAAGTTCCTTAAGAATATAAATATTTGAGGCCAATATTACAATTCAGTATGAGGAGAAGAGAGAGGAAGAGATAGATTAAAAAAAAAAAAAAAATCATTTAAGGATATAAATCGTTGGGGCTAATATTTTTGTATTGGTTAGAGTTTAATTTTAAAACGTGAATGAGGAGGAGAGAGAAAAGAGAGAAAATAAAAAATTATTTTAGAATATAAAATTTTGAGGTCAGGTATTAAATTTCTATATTGATTATGTGTGTAAAAATATTAAGAAATAATTATAATATAACATGTATAAGGAAATTTAAAATTTTGAGGCCTTCCAAATTGGAAGCGCCTATACCCAGGGTTGGCCCTGCTAATCAGGTAAACCCAAACTTAACTCATTTAATAATCGTGTCAAGAACCTTTAACGCTAACCCGACCTGTTTATTAAACAGGTAAACGTGTTAACTTATTTAATGACTTATTTATCAAAATAAGACATTTAATTTTTAATCAAATAATAAATAATATAAAATATTTGTCACAATTAACCTAAATATTCAAAATAAGAAGAAAATTTATTAAGTGTAGACAAAATTTATGTTGAAATGACTTAACTATTCATAGTAATTAGGTTTAAACCGATAACATATTACATAAGTCATATTCACGATTATGACATGTTGAGTTAAGCGGGTCATAAACAAGTTACATAAGTTAAATCCTTCAACCACAACCTAACACGGTTAAGTAAACGGGTTAATAGTGTCAACCCGTCTATGACTCGATTTAAAGTCAACCTAAACACGCTTCTCTCATGTCATGTTCGAGTCATGTTGATGGGTTGTGTCGTAACATTTGAAAGTTCACTTAGGGCATCTTAAATATTTGGAATCTCAGGGCTGGCCCTGTGTAGATCCTCACTATTGAGGACTCCAGTGGTATGATGCGTAATTTTTTTTTTATCTCCAGAGTTAAGATACACTGCACCAATGTGTAATGTTTATTGTGTATTTTATACAAACTTTTTACACAACCATACGAACATATTTCCTTTCTCCTCCCTCTTTCTCATTTAATTATCGAATCAATCCTATATTAAGTAGGTTTGTAAAAATTATATGAGTCCAGGTATGACACTAGTTGATTGTTATTAAAAAATATATTTTTATACAAAAAGTATTTGAGCAACCATGAGAACTACAAATAAATAATTAAAATTTTTTGTATAAATATATTATGACATATCAAATTTACAAATGTGTGTGTGTGTATATATATATATATATATAAACAAAGTTGGAGTTACTCTAAGGGCTAGTTTGGTGTGCTGGAATGGGTTGGAATGGAATGAACATTCCAACTTCTGATTCCTTTTTCCTTGTTTGGTGTGCCATTTTAAAGGTGGAATAATTATTTCAACTTATTCCCTGAGAATGCTCATTCCATCAAGAAGTTGGAATGGTCATTCCTCTTTTTGACCAAAGGAATGGTCATTCTATCCCTAACAAAAATTAAAATAAAATATAAGTAAAATAGAAAAACTAAAAAATAAAACCAAACGGTTAACCTAAAAACTTTTTTCACACATGACTCACCAAACCTCCAAGACAACCTACTACCGCCTCCCTCAGCCGTCTTCTTCCACCGTTTCTCTCTTTTCTTACACCCCTAAAAAACTTTCCTCTGCCTCCACTTCTCCCCTCATAGTTCCACACTTCCCTCTCTCTCTCCTTTCTCTCTCACCGCCCATATACGTCTTCCTTCTCTCTCACCATTGTCGGCGGGGAGCGGCGGCGGTAGAGGGTTGTGATGCCTATGCTTTATTGAATCTCACTGTTGTTTTCACTGACAAAGAATTGAATTCGGATGAATTCGGTTTTACTGAAGAACACATCGATTTCTAACTTTTTGAGATTTATAGAATAATCAAGGTATGTAGTACTCACAGTTGTGCAATAGTGGAGAGGAGGTTTGGTATCTCTATCGTCGGTCTCAAACACTGCCGGTTAGATAAGGTGGTAATAGATCTGTAATTTGGGGATGTAAATTCAAATAGTAAGCACCATAGAGATAGATCCATAAATGTTCATTAGAGATAACAAGCAGATTGGAAATTGAAGAGTACAGGTACAGAACACTCTCGCACCTATTACCCATCTGGTTACCCACAAGCTAGCTCGAATCTTGTTGGTTGCCTTGCTTCTCTGTCTGCTTTTTTGATTTGATCAGAAATCAAACCCAACAAAACTCAAAAGATATCACCGGTGTTGGTGGATTCATACTACAAATTGCTGCTAATCAATTCTTATTCTTATTTATTTTTAATTTTTAATTTTGATAATAATATTTAAAAAAAAAAATTCATTCCATTCTACTTTTTAGGATGGTCCAGCCAAACATTGGAATGGAAATAAGCATTTCATTCCTTATCATTTCAGTTTGAAACCAAATAATGAAATGAAAACATTTCATTTCATTTCCACTTATATTTCATTTCATTTCTGCAAACAAAACTAGTCCCAAGGATTGTCCTAGTTCTTTTATTATACTTCACAAAGTGTGTGGTGCATGTGATTTGATCTGGATCGTTTTTTACTGTGCAGCACGATACAAAGTACCATAGGATTCCAGCTCATAATGCCTACGTATGGTCATTGATTAACAAAACAATGTTGTTGGATGTACAACATGAAGCATATGTGTAAGCGAGAGGTTTTGGATCCCATTATAATAAACCTTAGGAAAGTAATCAATAATTACCTCTAAAACATGTACACTCCACTTGTCAAGAGGACCAAACACACGTCTGACACTTAGGGGAACATCTTGAAATGTGGCTGAATTTTATTAGTTTGACATATGGTTCATCAGATGAATTTAATGTAATTAACACTCGTAGGAAATGAATGATTTCAGATCAAAGCGATTTACTTCGATCGTAAATTTACAGATTGAAGCTTTTTACTACACAAACTATTAAAAAATGTCTTTAATGCTGGCAGAGATCTGTAAAATATATTTTTGAAGTCTCATTTTCCTACTTACATTTTTAACTTGAATGTTACGAGTATTATTGAACTAATACATGCAGGCCGGCTCTCTGACCCAAGATGACTAAGGCTGTGGTGAGGCCCACAAGGATGTAAAAAAAAAAAATTTAAGTTAGGACAAGTTTTGGTCTCCTTGGGCCTCAAATTTTAGAGGCGTCAAATTTTGAGGCCTATAGGGCATGAAAAAAAAAAAAAATTTAGGCCGAGTTTCAGACGACAATCTGCTTCGTTTCAATCCTATATTTTATTCTCCGAAAAAATATCTGCTTCGACAATTCGCAGGGCGCAGCCTCCGCTATCGTCTCAGGTGACAAGGTATGTTCATCCGCTCTCTCTCTTCTCTCTCCTTTTGCATGAATCGATCTTTTATATATGTTTCTTTCTTTCTTTCTTTCATCTCATCATTTGATTTGTTCTAACTTTGGTTCGTTTGATTCGGGCCTTTACCTTTGTTCCAATAGTGAAAAGTAGCTTCCAAACTAGGGTTTTTTTTGTGTGTGTCACTGTGTGTGATGGCTATCAAAAGCTGAATGAATATATTATGGTTCTCTTAGTATTTTAATAAATGTGTGCCTTTCTACCTGTGTCTTTCATGGCGATCGAGTCCATAATCCATGGCAGGTACTTTTTTTTTTTTTTTTCCTCTCCTTAATTCCACTCCAATCTCACAACAGCAGCAACCATACCCCTTTTCCTCTGAATTTTTTGCATTTTCACATTCAATCCTACGAAAATTAAGGATCCCTTCTATTGGGTTGAGCCTTTGAGGTAATAATTAACTTTTTCGATCTCTAAATTATGCTCATACTTAAAAGTGCCAAATTAAGGGTTTTTTTTTTATATTTTATTTTTATATGAAGATACATGTCACCATTATTGATGTTATTAGAAGTTGGCTCAGCTAGAATTTCAGTTAATAATACTGTCAAAGCACTTGCCATCAGAATGTACAAACACATGGAAATCAAGAGCAGGCTTTAACAAAACAAAAGTTTTCTATTAATTTGCACAGGTCTTCTGTAGCAATGATCAACCAATCACTGCTACTAAAGTTGATTCCTCATCCTGAAATCAAGAAAGGGGTAATTGGCTCCCAAAAAACACAAACACAAAGTGTAGTGTAGTTAATATAAAGAGTGAAAGACAAAAAACTATATATGTTAGTGGATGCCACATATAACCTAAAAGTCCCACTACTTCAGTACTACAAGTTCAGCCTCCTATAATATATATAGTCACCTCATCTCCACATATTTTTGTATCTGTAATCATCAAATTTTAGTAGCTATATAAACAATGAATGTAAAAGAAGCTGCAGTTTTATGTTCTCTAGTAAACTGTTCTCTTCATTTTTTATTTTGTGCCTATGAAAATTTCGCACTCTTTAATTGATAGATTTATTGTTATTAGTTGGCTGTCTTATGCACACTGCACATTCGCACAATTTTTTATTAGTGATGATAGATTTATAATTATTAGTTAGTTGTCTTATGCAAACTACACAGGCGCACAATTATTTGCACACAATTATTTATTGGTGGTGATAAAAATTTATAGTTATTAGTTAGTTGTCTTAAGCACACTGCACAGGCGCACAATTATTTATTGGTTGTGATAGATTTATAGTTATTAGTTAGTTGTCTTATGCACACTGTACAGGCGTACAATTATTTGTTGGTGGTGATTAATTTATAGTTATTAGTTATCTTATGCACTATGCACAGGCGCACAATTATATTAGCTATAGAATTTGAAAACATCGTGTGAAAATTTCGCACTCTTATAATTATTTTTTGCATGTGTGAAATTTAAGGGCCTCACATTTGAAAGTTCGCTTAGGACCTTTCAAAATATTTGCAATCTCAGGGCCGGCCCTGGATACATGTGCTCTAAGAAAAAAAAAAAAAAATAAGGCTTAATTTCATTGACACTCCCTTATGTTTGGCCAAATATCATACTCAACCATTTTTCGAAATTAACTATCACTCAGACCCCAATTTTCTTTTTCGTTACTTTTTTTTGTTAAAAAGGTGCAAAATAATAATTTTATCCATTTTTTAAAATCTATTTTTAATCTAAAATATCAAAAATCTGAAATAACCAAATTGCCTTCATTTATTACTCTGTCACCCCCAAAACTCTTCATCTCACTATTTTTTCCAAAAATATATATATTTTTGTGTATATATATATGAAGAATAATTTTAAAAAATAATTATAAATTGGTTGGTGTAAATAATGAGAAATATATATATAAAGAATAATTTTAAATTTTTATAATGAAGGTCAAAGGGTATTTAAGTCATTTCAACATTTTTTTTTAAGTCAACAGATAGTTAGAAGGGTAACAATGTCATTTTACATGCAAAAAGGTATATGACACACTTGAAAAGTAACTTTTGGGGTGTAAGTAAAAAACGGACTAAACGTTTATAATGCGAATGATAATTATTTTCAAAAGATAATTTAATTTGATATTTGACCAAACCTAAAAGGGGTGTCAGTGAAATTAACCCTAAAAATAAACGTTAACATGATAGAGTTTGATGAAACTCAACTAGGTCGTCAAACCATCATGGTTGAACAAGGCTGGAAAACTTTGTAATTTTTAAAGCTTTTATGGGTCAATACGAAAATAACATATAATTTGAAAAACAAAACACTAAACCCATTTTTAACCCATGACAGTTCTACCTCCTCAACCCTAGCCGCGATCTCCTCAACCGGCCACCGCAAGCTCCTCCACCGGCCACAACAAGCTCATCCACCGGTGACAAGAAGGTCCTTCACTGCGAACTCCTCCAGGTTTTTTCTTTCACTCTCTCTTTCCTCTTCTTTAACCATCTCTCTCACTTCACTCTACAAACCACTGCGATGACCTCACCACCATCAATCACTCAGCCACTACGTCAATTCCACCACCACCACTGTTCACAGTTGCCACCGCCACAGTAGACCTTCACCCATGGCGCTCACCACCACCCACCGACCCAATACACATCCATTCTTGCCCTCATTTGTCAACTATTTTGCTCAGGATTATCTGTTGCAATTCGCTTCTTTGTGGTTTCTCTTATTTTTGCTTGCAAAACATAGCAGAAACAAATAGAATATTTTACTTGCTATATTACTATTTGATTTATTTATTTATTTATTTTTTTGTGGGTTAGTATATATTGCTATAATGCTATTTGAATTAGGGTTATGGAGTTTATCTTTTTGCTTTCTTTTTTGTGTGAGGATATATTACTATTTGAAATAGGGCTATGGAGTTTATCTTTCTGCTTTCTTTTTTGTGTGATTTGTTATTGAACTCGTGAATTATATGTAATGATTAATGAATGATGAAGGGTTAACATGATGGAGATCTACTTAAAACTATTTGTCTATTTTAGTTCATAAGTTATTTTAGTGCTTGATTACTTGAATGATGAAATGAGTTACTTGTGTCATGTAATTTGTCTTTTTTATTCATGAAAAAAATTAGTGATTACATTCATAGTTTGTAGATAAAATGAGTTACATCATTTATATATATATATTTATATATAAAATTTATTATATTATTATTTCAATCCCGTATTCCGTGTGTTCTAATTTTGAGATTTGTCAATCCCCTTGTCCATATGGTATTGCACCCATGTGTTGTGTCCTTGTACTTGAATCTTTATCAGGGGAAAACTACCCTTTCATTGTCTTAAGGAGTCTTAAGCAAAATTTATTTAAAAATTTATTTTTTACCTTGGTTGAATTAAACAAAATAATTACATATGCGTCGAGAGTCGTTGTTCATGTTCAAAATGCCTTCCAAGCTCTTATTTCAAAAAACCAAATCATCCTTCTTAAATCAAATAATTCTAGGAGTTATCACTCACGCATAACCAGTGTTGTTAAAGGGTGCCTAGGCTCTAGGCTCATACAGTCACAACATTTGTGCCTATTGTGTGCCCAGGTGCGCCTTTAATATGAAATGTGAGTATGCTTAGTAGTAATTTAATTTTTCAATTGTGTCTGGCGTGCGGCTTGCCTAGTGCCTAAGCTCTAAAGGACCTCTAGTGCCTTAGTGCGCCTTGGGCCTTGGATACAACATTGCTAAGCCCTAAAATTGTGTGCCTGTGTGGAAAAATTGCAGAACGTTTGGTTGATGCAAATGAATTGTTTGATTAAATGCCCAATCGAAGGGTTGGGGATTATGGGTCGATGCAAATCTTCTTTGCCGAATAAGTTGATACAAATGAGCTGTTATTCTTGTGAGCATGTTAACTTGTCCTATCAGTATTCTAATTTTGAGATTTGTCACATCCCCCTGTCCATATGGTATTGCACCCATGTGTTGTGTCCTTATCCTTGAATCTTTATCAAGGGAAAACTACACTCCATTGTCTTAAGGAGTCTTAAATATCAAAGCCGTTTATTTACTTATCAAAAAAAAAGAAAAAAAAAGCCGTTTATTTAAAAGTTTATTTTTTTACCTTGGTTGAATTAAGCTGAATAATTACATATGCATTGAGAGTCGTCGTTCATGTTCAAAATGCCTTCCAAGTTCTTATTTAAAAAAACCAAATCATCCGATCGCTCAACCGAAAATTCCCTCTGCCCCTACCGCACTCTAGCTTGGTTATTTCCACCGCTTGTCCAGGGTTGAGCCCTGGGATTTGACGGTGGACTTAAAAAGCCATCTACAGACGCTTTACGCCCAATCATTCCGGATAACACTTGCATCCTCTGTATTACCACGGCTGCTAGCACAGAGTTAGCCAGTGCTTATTCCCCAGAAAACGTCATTTTCTTAAATCAAATAATTCCAGGAGCTTGTTGACCCATCTTATCACTCACGCACAACCAGTGTTGTTAAAGGGTGCCTAGGCTCTAGGCTCATACAGGCACAACATTTGCGTCTATTGTGTGCCTAGGTGCGCCTTTGACAACATGTGTGCCTTTAATATGGAATATGAATATGCTTTAGTGGTAATTTAAATTTTCAATTGTGTCAGGCCTGCGGCTTGCCTCGTGCCTAGGCTCTAGAGGACCTCTAGTGCCTTAGTGCATCTTGGGCCTTTGATACAACATTGCTAAGCCCTAACATTGTGTACTTGTGTGGAAAAATTGTAGAATGTTTGGTTGATGCAAATGAATTGTTCGATTAAAAGCCCAATCGAAGGTTTGGGGATTAAGGGTCTATGCAAATCTTCTTTGCCGAATAAGTTGATACAAATGAGCTGTTATTCTTGTGAGCATTTTAACTCGTCTTATCAGTGTTCTAATTTTGAGATTTGTCACATCCCCCTGTCCATATGGTATTGCACCCATGTGTTGTGTCCTTATCCTTGAATCTTTATCAAGGGAAAACTACACTTCCATTGTCTTAAGGAGTCTTAAATATCAAAGCGGTTTATTTAAAAGTTTATTTTTTACCTTGGTTGAATTAAGCAAAATAATTACATATGCATTGAGAGCTGTTGTTAATGTTCAAAATGCCTTCCAAGCTCTTATTTCAAAAAAACCAAATCATCCCACTGCTCCACTGGAAATTCCCTCTGCCCTACCATATTCCAGCTTGATAGTTTCCACCGCCTATCCAAGGGTTGAGCCTTGGGATTTGACAACGGACTTAAAAAGCCACCTACAGATGCTTTACGCCTAATCATTCTGGATAACGCTTGCATCCTCTGTATTACCGCGCTGCTGGCACAGAGTTAGCCGATGCTTATTCCCCAGATACCGTCATTTTCTTAAATCAAATAATTCCAGGAGCCTGTTAACCCATCTTATCACTCATGCACAACCAGTGTTGTTAAAGGGTGCCTAGGCTCTACGCTCATACAGGCACAACATTTGCGCCTATTGTGTGCCCAGGTGCGCCTTTGACAACATGTGCGCCTTTAATATGGAATATGAATATGCTTTAGTAGTAATTTAATTTTTCAATTGTGTCAGGCGTGCGGCTTGCCTCGCGCCTAGGCTCTAAAGGGCCTTTAGTGCCTTAGTGCGCCTTGGGCCTTTGATACAACATTGCCAAGCCCCTAACATTGTGTGTCTTTGTTGAAAAATTGTAGAACGTTTGGTTGATGCAAATGAATTGTTCGATTAAATGCCCAATCGAAGGGTTGGGGATTAAGGGTCGATGCAAATCTTCTTTGCCAAATAAGTTGATACAAATGAGCTGTTATTCTTGTGAGCATGTTAACTCGTCTTATCAATGTTTATTATTTATTATTGTTCTCCGAATCTTGGAACAGAGGCTTGATTCACATGGTAACATAACCAAGGTCTTGTGAGCCTCTATTCCACATGATTATTCTTATCACTATTCTTGTTAACCCATCTTATCTCTATTCTTGTTAGCCCATCTTATCATTATTCTTGTAAATTGTTATGCAAATGAATTTTTGCTTGATGCAAATAATCTTATTTGTTAGGGCTTTAGCATGAGTCGTTAACATTGGTTGATGCAAATGAACTGTTCAGTTAAATCCCAGGAGCCTATTAGGGCTTGGTAATGTTGTGCATGAATGACAAGATGGGTTAACAGGCTTTCAGAGTTATTTGATTTAAGGAGGATAATTTGGTATTTTGAAATAAGAGTTTTGAGGGCAATTTGGAGATAAAAAAATGATTCTCAATTCATACAACCACAACCACCACCACCACCACCTAGCCTTTTCACAATTACTTCGGGTCGGCTACATGAATCCCATGTTTCCATTCCATTCTATTTTAGGTCATAGCTCCAGTCAATGCATATGTTATGATATCTTTATTTACTACCTCTACCCACATTAACTTTGGTATTCCTCTTCCCCATGTATTACCCTCAATGTGAACGATGCCACTTTTCCTAACCGGTGCACTTAAAGGTCTTATATGCGCATATCCAAACCATCTTAACCTATTTTCTCTCATTTTATCTGCAATTGGTGTTACTCCAACCATCCCCCAATTGTGATAATTTATAATTCTATCTTTTCTAGTCTTACCGCACATTCACCTCAACATTCGCATTTTTGCCAGAGTCACTTTATGCAAATGTTGTTCCCTAGCTGCCAAACATTTGGTAGTATGGCTGGTCTAATAGCTGTTCTATAGAATTCTCCTTTGAATCGTAAGGGGATACATCTATCACACAATATACTAGATGCACTCCTCCATTTAACACATCTTGCTTAAGGTTATCAAAATCGCGATCCTGGATCGTAGAATTGTATGATTCTACAATCCCACAACCCCGAAACGAGGCAACTCGTATAAAAATCGCAAATATGGTTAGAATCGAAGTAGAATCGTTAGAATCAGTTGTAGAATTGCAGAATCGTACGATTCTAACGATTCTGCCTTATCCGTTGTTCAGCTAATTTTTCAGCCTTATTCACTGTTTTTTAGTGTTGGGCTTCTTAAAAAAGAAAGGCCCAAGTCGTGCCGTTGGAAGTTTTACTGTTAAAGCTTTCTTGAAGAGTTGTTTACATGAGTTTTGCAAACTTGTTTACGTACCATTGGTATGGATATGTTAGTGATGCACACTACCACATATTTTAACTTCTATAAAAGTAAAGCAAAAACTTAGGGCTCAATTGCAGCGCTGGTGTGTTCGATTTGGGGCTCTCCAGCAACCAAGTAAGCTCTTTTTTTTTTTTCCTCTCTCCCTCTGTTTCTTCTTCTTCTTCTTCTTCTTCTTCTTCTTCTCTGTTTTTTCCCTTCTGCTGTTCTCGCTTATCTCTCTCTCTGTCTCCCTTCTTTTCTTTTTCTGGCCTTTGTTTTCGTTCTGCTGTTTCTCTCTCTCTCTCTCTCTCTCTCTTCTTCTTCTTCTTCTTCTTCTTCTTCTTCTTTTCTCTTCCCCCTTCTTCTTCATGTTCTTTTGGTGTAATTTATTTTTTCCTTCTGCTCTGTTGGCAATACTTGGTCCCAATACTTCCCCTCTTCTACTCTGTATTTTTATTTTTTATTTTTAAAATTTTATATGTGCTTCAGTGCTTTAATGCTTTAATAATTACGAATGAGTATAATACATGTTGTTTTTAATATAATGCATGCTGTTTTCATTTTTCAAATTTTTTTACTGAGAAAAAGAATGCTATTTTAACTATGAAAATGCCTGCAGTTGTTGTTGTTGTTGTTTTTTTTTTTTTTTTTTTTCCCTAATTGGTACTCACACATACATGCCTCCACTGTGACTCGAACTCTTGACCTTCCTTTGGGAAGTAGGGGCCTGGTACCGTTACGCCATAGGCTTGTTGGTGCCTGCAATTGTTTCCCGTGGCCTGTGAAAATATCTGCTATTTATGGGTCTGTTGTTACCTAGTCCTTAATACATTTTTTTTGGTTGTGTTTTGGCCTTATTCTTGCTATATTTTACACATATTATTGTTTAAGAAGTTTGTTTGAATTGTTTTTTTACTGGTTGGTAGAATCTTACGATTCTCGATCCGATTCTACGATTCCGATTCTATGGAACCCAAAACGATACTATGTAGAATCCCGTTTTTAACAACCTTGATCGTGCCTTTATTCTATAATTATAATTCTCAATCCATATGTAGTTATTTTGCTTAATTCAACCAAAGTGAAAAATAAACTTTAAAATAGACCACTTTGTTATTTAAGACTCCTAACTCAATCTAAGTGTAATTTTTCCAGGAAAGAATGGTTACAAGGATGGAATTTCTCCAATAAATTTTTTTAATGTGAGATAGGAGGAAAGAGATTAGGAATAGAAGATAGAAGAATGGGTCAGTAAGTGGGTGGCCTGGTTACCATTATCAAAGAGAGCAATTACCTGTTTTGCATTGTCACATTTTGATATTCTTCTTGAACTTATTTGATATTTTAATCACTTCATTTGAAAGCTACTTGGCATCTAATTTTACCACTGCATTCTCTTTTTATTCACTACTCCGTAAAAGAAGGCTTGCTTTCTATTTAATATGAATGGTATATTTGCTGGTTAAGGCCAAACAATTGCTCATGTACTTACACTTCCAACACTCAAAGATAAACAGAAATAAGAAAACAAAGTAGATCAAAAGAAAGAAAAATTCCTCTCCTTTTATTTTACGTGAAATTGTTAATTGTATAAAAAAGGGTCATTATTGAGTACTGGTCTCTCCTAAGTGGCCAGAAGTTGGAAGGAGAACAATGGAGACTGATCTAACTTTTGATATATCATTTTGCGTAAAGTAACTGGTCTCAATCTGAAGCCCGAATTCTCACACTTGTAAACCTATGATGTTGCTCTGCAAATAGGACATCTGTTTGTTTGTAATAAGTGAGTAGCGCAGAAGCACTTGCATTCTAAAACTTAGTGTAATGCATCCCTTCATATGATGCATTTAGAGCTTACGCATGCAAGGGTCAAATGATCTTTTCCTAGTCTTTTGGACTATCCAATTTCGAGCATGGACACTTTAAAATTGAAGTTTTTCATGCTTGGAAAAAAAAAATTGTTTTAAGGAGTCAAACCTGTGCCTTTTGCTATCTAATAATCACAACAACATTATTGTTTAGAAATTTTTTGTCATCATATCTTGAACATTAGAATGAGACATTTTTTCAGTTCCCTTATTTTTTTTTTGCCTAGCAAAGATGGAAGAACTTGTAGCTCAACAAACGTGAAGATGGTAAATAATCCTCATTTAAGTATCCATTATGTTGTAAGATGCAATGCACATCTCTAATGCAGAAGATCTGATGTTGTGTATTGTACTTTTTCGTGCACAACACACCGCTCGAATTGACTCAGCAGTGGGTGGGACCCACAGCTGGATTAGTCCCAACCCTCTACCATGCATTGAAAGTACCTGTGCACAATGGATGATTGGGGTCCTTGATTCACACCTATCTATGAGACTGGTCACAAAGTGGAAGAGAATCATATTTAAGCTGGTTCTTGACCATCTAAAATATTGTAGTTATTTTACATATTTTATTTGATAACATTTTCTGTATCTAAAATACTATTTCTTGATATCTATAGCCATTGGTTTCTATTTGTTACATAGTAAATATTTCATTTTCTAAACGTTGTTTTGATATATTAAGTTTTAAACTTTATGTAAAAGAATAATTTTAGGTTTTAAATATTTTTTTTTATGTGATAACAACTGATAAAGTTATTAAAGACTGAAATTTAGTATATTTTCATCTGCCTCCAAAATAGAAGCTTGAGAGTTCAAGTCTGGAGTAAATGAGAGTGTACATATTTGTTAAACAAAAGGAAAAAAAAAAAAAAAAAAAATTCTTCCCTAAGTCTGATAATTTCTTCAAAACATTCTTATATATAATGGTTTCTAAATTTTTTCTGTTGGATATTACTGGTAAATTAAGATACATCATATAAGTTAAATGCTAACCAAGTTTTATTTGAAAAATATAATATAAATACTGAAGAAGAAAGAGTTGTTCTGTTGTTCATCAAATCAAACATCAACATTATTATTTAATGAGATTTACCGGTATTTTATGTGGTATTGAAAATATTCACAATCCTTATATCAATACATTGCGATATGAGCCCTGATTGTCTGTTGTTCACTTTTTGGTGTTGTAGCGTGCCATAGATGTGGGTTACAATTATTTCAAGGTTCAATTTAATATGTTGCCCGATACCATTATTTCGAGGATTCAACACCACTATTTCGAATTCTCAAAATAATGGTGTTAGAACACATTAAATCGAGGTTCAACACTATTATTTCGAGCCTTGAAATAATGTTGTTGAATATTAAAAATAATGGTGTTAGGCAACACATTAAATCGAGAGTCAGCACAAATTTGGAGGCTCGAGATAATTGGGCAAAATAGTTGTGCTGATTCTCGAAGCACACTACAACATTGAAAAGCGTATGGTGGAGTATTCGGATCATCTCGATTAATGGGCGGTGTACTTCTTAATAAAACCCTCCCAAGGTTTTATTTCATTGTAGAGAGAGAAAGTTAAGTTGTGGGATGAAGAGTGCAGAGAAAGTGAGAAACCTAAGCTGTGGACTTCCTTTGATGCTTGGATGTCTGCTTATCTTGACTTGCAGAGTACAAAATCTCTCTGTTCTCTCTTCTTTCTAACAAATTGTGTTATGTGGTTGTTGTTTGTGTTCTCTCTCTCTCTGGCAATCTGGTTCAGATTGAGCAAATTTGAAATAAAGGGAATTTTTGAGCAACGGTTTCTGTTTTCCTTTCCCCATTTTCGGAAAGAAACTGAATATGTTGTTGTTGAGCTGAGGATTGTAAGTTTTGACTTCAATAAGTGATCTCAAATTTTTTGTCCTGAACTTCTAATCCTTCAAGTGGACTTTTAATTCTACCAGGATGAGCCCTGTGATTCAAGTTATATTATTTAGGAAAATCCAAAAGATTAGAGAATCAAAATGAGTCCCTTCTTTATTTTTTTATTTTTATTTTTTCCTTCTTTGAAACCTCTACATGTCCCAAAAAAATTAGTGGAGAAAGTTGTGTTAAAGACAATCTATTTGTTTGGAATACATAATATATTGACCTCATACATCAAGGTCTAATAGTTTCAAAAGGTCTAATAGTTTCAAAAGGTCTACTGGTTCTCTCTTACTAAATGTTATATATAATGCATTGTGGTCAGAAAATGAGGAAATTTTAGCTTAGGAGAAAATTGTGACTTTGGTTTATATTTTGATTTGAATTGAAACACAATCCTTCCCACCAATTTATGTTGTTATGATTCAATTGTGATTTGAGAAGTGAGATGGCATATTGATTTGGTGTTCAATTTTAGGAGATATGAAAATTATGAGGGGTGTGTTGCAGTCTGTTAATGCTGGCTTGTTAAACCAACTTCAGTGTCCTCGAGTGGTCAGAGCTTTTTCCACAAATCCAGCATCAGGTAATTTCCGTTTATTCTATCTAATGGCAATAGGACATTCAAATGTGCTGTTTAATTGCATCTTTGGAGACATATAATTAATTGGAGGCTCAACCTTTGTGGTACAGAATTCGTAATAGAGCTTGTAATGAGTAGATTTATCTGAATGTTTTACTTGAAACTGCACTGACATTGAAAATCCATCATGTACTGATTTTTAGCTTTCCTAATTCGTAATATCATGCAAAAAAAACTGCATTGTGCAGATTGATTGCCACTTTTGTTTTATATTGTAGCTTTCCTAGTAAGTGTGTATTGATGGGCGTGCTGCGTGCATACAGATGTGGCTAGTGTATTGATGGGTGCACATGCAAATGTGGGATCACATGCCTGCTGTGTACTGTTTATGTATTCCTTTTTACCCTAGTTCTATGTCCCATATGCCTCTTTTTAATTTAATTTTTTTTTTTTCATGTTTTATGGAACTTGGGGAGTTGTGTTTTTTAAGTATCTATGAGATACTCAAAAAATAAATTCTCTGAACCTTATGTACCTGTTGTCAATAGTTTTTCCATCAATATTATTATCTGGGGTTGTGGCTGTTGCTCTGGGCTTACTTTTTTCAGCCTTGATATTTCAAAATATGTAAGAAAATAGTTTCTAGTAATTGCCAACCATGCCCAAATGTTTGGTTTCTATTCAATCACAACACCGTCCTTAGTGCCATTTTTTCAGTTCAATTTATGAGTAATTTGGTCTTCTCTCAGTGATACGCATAAACGGGAGCACAACCCGAATTTTTAAAATAAGTTATGGGTGAGCTCAATCATCTTTTAGTATATGCACTCTGTTTGACATGATCAAAGTCCTTTTTTTTCTATTAGTGGCTGAACTCTCCAAGATCCTCTTCGCTACCTAACTTCAATAACATGGATTATTACATCTGGGACTCCCTCGAGGGAGGCAAAGATTCTTTAATTCTTTATTCATGATCACCATCTGTGACTAATGTATCCTTTAAATAGGATGCTTTTCCGTCTAATGTTTGGCCTGTTTTGTCTCAAATGATGCTACCAGCATCTTCTTCTCTGTTTAGGTTGACTGATCGAAAAAGATTATTGTATATAGGAGGATCCTATTGTAAATAATGAAAGTTTCTGGAGTTATTGACTTGCTTCAATTTACTTCCAACAACACTGCTTTTTAGTGGTCTTCTTCCCTGCGCTTCAGTCAGCATGTACATAGCTGGTAGTTCATAGTTCAAATCTGTGCAAGTATATTTACCATTTACTGGCAATGTTCTGTTTGAACTTTCCTTACCTTGATATTATCCTTTTAATCTCATGGTTCTTCCCCCACCCCCAACCCCAAAAAAATAATCCCATGCTTCTGATAGTGCACGTACATGAACTTCAGACTGCTACAATTATACAATTTTGGCTTCCCTTGTTTCCTTTTATACTGTGGTATCTGCTTAAGTTCTACCATGCAGCCTTGTATTCTTTCTGTTATATATTTATTTGATGAAACTGCAGATATTGACAAATGGTAAACTGTTGTAACTTGATGAATTTTATTACTTGGTGATAAAAAGATTAAAAAACAATTAAATTCATCAAAGCAGCATCAAGATTCCCAAATATCCCTTTAAATTAGTTGATGAGGTCGTGGAATTCTGGCATCTGCCCATGCCTTGAGGCCTGGGATGAGAGAGTGTGCCCTTCTACTTGAGAGGAACTTCAAATTATTAGGAGTTATATCTTGTTCATCAAGTCTTCTAGCTCCAGTCCTGTTAGAACCCAAGTGTCATCTAACAAGAATTAGATGCTGATATGCATTTGCCTGGTTATATTACAATATCACATTTGAAGTTTTCGGTATCACCCGTGGGCCACCAGTTCTATATCAATTTTTAAGTGTTATATGTCACCTTTGGCTTACAATTTGGTCATGCCCTTTAGGGTGTCTTGTGACAACCTTTAAAGAACTTCATTGGTCTGTCTTGTTTTTGTTGTTTCTAAACAGGTACCGGTGACAGCCAAAGTAGTGACGTATTTGAGTCAGTTGATGATTTTGAAGATCGGATTTTCAGTGATAAGTCTGGGAGTGCTCCAAAATCTAGTTCTTTTTTCCAAAAGCTTGGTAGGATTGAAGAGGCTTATGATAGAGGTTTTGGTTCTAATGTCAATGCTAGAAATAAATCTGAGTTTATGGATGGTTTGAATGAGAGTTTCAATACGTTGTCTGATGGGATGGATGGGAAGCTGAAGAAAGCAGCTACATATTTTGAAATCGATCCTGAGGAAATAATGAAAGATGACTATAAGTTCAGACCAGATATGACTTTTTTGCCTGGTTCAACTTATGAACTCAAGGTATTGAGCACAGTTTCTGAGGCATATATTTCTGCTGTGACATTTTCTGTACATTATTGTTTTACTAGCTTTTGTTTTGTCTTTACACATGCATCATATATCTCATGATGATTAAAGTCAGGTGTGAACCCTTCATTTATCTGCCTTAGAAGTTGCTGAACTTGCTCATAGTTACTGGTTAAATTTAGTTTTTGAGTGGCGTTGAAAAATGCTTCAGCTGTTGAGTTACTTATTTTGAATTACAAGTCCAGAGATGGGCATGGGCCAGACTTGGATTTGCTGTATGTCAAATTAGGAATAGGCGTAACCTGGCTGAATAAAACTAAATTTAAATTGGCCACAATAGCTGACCAACAAGTACTGAATTATTGGAAGTCTTTGCAGTGTTTATAATTTGGATTTCTGTATAATATATGTAGTCATTTATTTTCTGTGAAAGAAAGTGATTGGCTTCTTGGACAAGAAGGAGCAGGAATTGTAGTTCTGGTTACATCTGTCACAAGTAGTACCAATTCTTTGGAGAAGAAGGGGTAGTTTCTAGGTGGATTTAAACATATTAATATGTGTTACTCTATGTGTGCTTTTGTGCATAGCAGCAGATGAAAGCAACGGAAACAAGTTACATGTGAATTTTTAAGATGAACCTCTTGATTTACCCCCCCCCCCCCCCCCCCCCCCCCCTTCTGTAACGAATTTTAGCTTTCATGAAGTGAACATGCAAGTATTGTTCTGGCCATATGCTTTGTGAATTCAGTTATATGAATATCAATTTAAGATTGTCTAGATATGTGTGTGTGGGTGTGCAACCCATGATGCTCTCTCAGATTCATGACCATACTTGTTTTTTATGTCACATGTTAATATGTGAATTGTGTCATTAATTAATCAAATTGTAAGATGAATCATGATTTGTTGTTCAGCATGTTTTTATTGCAGTTTCTTTTAATCTACATATACAACACCACTATTATTCATAGAAGATAGTAACTATTTTGCGGTAGCTAAAAACTCTTGGCAGATGTCAAATCTGTCACGATATATAGGACTAAAGTACTAGTTCACTAACAAATCATAGAATGAACGCATATGAAAACAAATATACTATGTGATCGTGTCTAAAGACTTCTTTCCTGCACCCAAATTGAGTTTAAGATCTTCCTACTTTATTTAAGCTGTCATGTCTCTGTTATCTGTGCTATCACTTCGTTCTTTATCCAGCAATTCTTTCTTTTTGCGGTGGTCCCTTTTTTCCTCTCATGTATTTGGGGCGCCTCTGTGCAGGATCTTGACCTTAGAAAACCAGGCGTACGTAAATTTAATCGAAAGGAGTTTGAGGTGACGACAGAGGAAGTTCTGAGAAAAGCTGATTTCAGGGTGAGCATATCTGGATCTAACATAGTAATGAATTTTCTAGCCCATATTTTTGGTGAGCATCACAAGGATTATTTTTTTCGGAATGTACTTGGACTTAGGATCACTGTTGGTCTAGGAACAAGGGAAGATGCTTGTTATCTCCAAACCTCCTTTCGCTGTTTTTTTTTTTTTCTTTCTCCCTTGCATAAACTTTGTGCAGGATGTGGATTTGAGTTTTGTTTTAGGCCCAAGTGGTTTTTGCAAAAATGTATGTGCTGGGCTGTTTGTTGATATCATTGTGATTGTAGTCTTTCTTTAAGACCCTCTCTGACTTGCAAAATTTTTTTTGCACAGAATGTGAGATTCCTTGCCAATTTTATAACAGAGTCTGGAGTTATAATCAAGAGGAACAAGGTAAATAAAGTGAAAATTCAATATTCCCATCTTAATTGAACCATGGTTGAATATGAAAATTAATGCTTTTCATTATTGGCTGGTTCATTTTGCAGACTAAAATTAGTGCCAAAGCTCAAAGGAGGGTTGCTAGGGAGATTAAGACAGCCCGAGCATTTGGTTTAATGCCTTTCACCTCGATGGGAACAAAGCATTTTGCTTTTGGCAAAACAATGGAGGATGTTGATGAGGATCATGGATATCAAAGTTACTATAGCCGCAATTTTGTTGTTGAAGGAAACGGGGATCCTGTTGAAGCTTAGAAACCAGTGCCGGTCTGTTTTGGCTCCCTATTTTCTTGTTGAAATAAGTTTTGTTGGCAAGACAAATAGAATGGCATACCAACTTTACTTCAGATATGCGGGCATGCTTTTGTACCATGTGGTGTTGGTTTTAGCCGGGTTTTTGCTTAATGCTTAAATTCCATGTCCAGTGTTCTCCAAATCTTTGAAATGGGTTTGGATTATTATGAATAAGAAGTACATCTGTATTTTGCTCGTTGCAGGGCATTTACGCGTTATTTCTCCAAGTAGTCTCACAATCCTATGACGACGGAGACAACCCCGGGTAAACATGATCGAGTCCAAATTATACTCAGGTAGGGTAAGGGAAGCATATATATATAATCATCCCTACCTGAGTATAGTTTTGGGATATGAAGCCATCAAGAACATTTGCCGATCCTCATGAGATATCACAACCCACCAGTGAATATACTCTTTCTTCATCTAAGCAACTAAACGCTTTCTTCAGAGGACTAACCATTGCAACTTTATTTAGACCCCCTCCTCCTCCTCCTACAAATTTGATTTCATAAATATATGGCCCACCATCCAAAGTGGCAATCAAAAACAATGATACTTCCTCATCCTCACTGCCTCTGGAGTCCTCCGCCGGAGATGGAATGGGGCTGTGAACGTTGCAGAAGAAACTCTTTGTGCTGCGGCGTCCAGAACAAAACCTTTTTATAGGGTTTTTTGGGTCTCCTCTGTCAATTATATAGCGAACGAATGCATCCGTCATCTGTGATGTGTGCCTTAGCTAGGTATGAAAGGACATTGACACCCTTGTCAATCATTTTATGTATTTCTTATCTAGTTAGTAAATAAATAGATTGGAAATACGGATTAAGATAAAGAATATGAGTACGGATTCGGCAAAAATAAAAAAATTGTACTATATATTATATATATATATAATTAATTTTTGATCAATTTTTAAATTATTATGAATCTAAATGCAATCATTAATATATCATTGGAGTTTATTTCATATAACATAAAACAAGTATCCCTACTCCCTAGTGATATATTTTTAATTTTTATAATAATTACAGTATAATACTTCCTCCTCCTTATGTTAGTACTTGTCCACCTTGAAAAGTCAAAAGCAAGATAAAATGGATCTTTTCAAAATTACCCTTTAAAATTTAAAAATCTCCTTATTTAAAATTATAAGGACAATTTGATAATCTTACGGAGGGAATCATGCATTTATTGCATACCACTTAAAAAATTCTAAAACCAAAGTTGACAACTATTTATGGGACAAAAAAAAAAAAAAATGGAGTATTATTTTTGAAAAAGTTACATTATAAGTACAAAATTTGTTAAAAATGTATTTTGAAATATGTGAGAAGTATAAAATACGTGGTCGAAGTATCTACGGCTGCAAACGAGCCGAGCCGTTCACGGACTACTTGGGCTCGGTTCGTGTTCATTTCTTTACTAAACGAATCGAGCCCAAACAAGTTTTTGATGTTCGATTAATAAACGAGTCAATTTCAAACAGTCCCCTCCTCGGTTCGTTAGGTCGTGAACGCGTTCGTGAACAGGCTTGTTTTTAGCTCGTAAACATTAATATAATATATGTGTGTTTGTATTTTATGTTTTTGTATATTATAGGCCCATTTCTTATATTATTAGCTTAAGAAAACCCATTTCAACTAACCCAACCCAACCCAACCCAATTCGTAAATAAAAGATAACATAAAGGCATTTGAAAAATAAAACGGCCCAAACCCATATTCTCAAGTCCATAGTCACAAGTCCATCCATATAAACCTAACTTTCCTTTCTCTCCTCGTATCAAACGGTCAGACCCCAACCCTAGATGCGCTTCTGTAGCAGCGTTTTGGACAGATCACTGCGGTGCCGACAACTTGCTCTTCAACGTGCGTTTTGGGGCCGTGCCGACAACTTGCTCTTCAACATCGGCAAGGATGACAACGACACACATGGTTACCTCTCCCTTTCACTCTCACTCTTCCTCTCCATCTCTATCTCTATCTTTGTCATATTTTTGGCAATATCGCTCCTCCATTTATCCGTGGAGGATAGTTGCGATTTATACTCTCTTGTGTATGTGTGTATATATAACTACACCTACCAGTCAAAACTCAAAAGTAACCTCTCTTTAAATAGGAGTTCCTCGTACTCGCATGTTAATTTCTTAGAGAGAGAAACTTTTGAGAGAGAATGAGGCTAACCCGAGTTCACATCTTCCATTGTGGTGTTGTCTTTCTTTCAAAAGTAAGCTCATCTTTACCCTGTTTATTATTATTCTTCTTTAATTAATATTATGATTTTATGCTATCATTATTAAATACTTATAAGTTCTAATATCAGTTTTCAAATATTTTATTTCCTTGATTTAGGTATAAAAAAAAATAAATAAATACCAATTCTCTAGGGAACAAAACTTCACTCCTAGAAACATTATTTACATCCATGCAAGAAATTGATTGGCTAGCTTTAACAAAATCAAGTGTACCTTGACTCCTGGTTTTATTTTTCTTTAACAGATGAAATTGTGAATAATATTAACATAATGTTGGATGATAAAGGCTTATGATTTGATAAAGAAAATCATAAATAATAAAAATGTAATTTTATAAGCATTTTGTTTGAGTTATAAGTAACTTTATGTTTTCTACGTTAAGAGATACATTATATTATTAATAATTAAAATAAAAGAACTTATAGTATATTTTTTATTTTAAAGAAATGCAACTTCAGAAATCTATATATTTAGGAATTTTTTTTAAGTAGTAGCATCCAGTTTTCAAATATTTTATTCTCTTAATCTTTATGATTTAGGTAATACAAATTTTTCTGATCACAAAAAGGGAGAAATTGATGGGAATGAGTGGAGTAGGGGAAAAAATGGAGGTATGCCTCTTCAAATGCATTTTAATTTTGTGTTAGTTTCACATCTTAATAATTGTTTTTATCATGTATGGAAAGATATTCATATTCAATTTCTGAAAAAAGAAATTTCATATTTTATTGGTTGGTCACTTTATTTGTTGTTGCTTTTCATTGAAGAGATGGATCAATACTTGCACAAATAAGAAGATATATTATTTTCATTGAAGAGTGTTTCAAACCTGCGTAGCTGGCTAAACTTAAACTTCTGGACAACCAATTCAAGCTTCCAATATGGAGAAATGCTCCAACAGACAACGAAAGAGAAGAGATGGAGATCATGAGGAGGTCAACCAGGTTTTACAAGAGGCAATGCATTTCTACCTTTAGTATCAACCACAGGGACGAAATCTGCCAAGAGATGGGATGTGACCGGCGAACATGAGGATGGCGGCGAGGATGATGGCGAGCAAGAAGGATGCAAGGCCGGCGGGATGTGGGTCTGTTCGGCGTGATGCTGCAAGGAGGGGAACTGGAGTGGACTTCACCGGACTGAACTTGGTTTTTGGGTAATTCTTAAAATTTGAAGATTTTGTGCTTGTGTGTAATTTTGCCTAATTGGATGTGATTCATGCCCATAGGTATGTGTTTTTTCATCACTTTTCGTACTGTTTGGATTATGTGGGTCTGTTCGGCGTGATGCTGCAAGGAGGGGAACTGGAGTGGACTTCACCGGACTGAACTTGGTTTTTGGGTAATTCTTAAAATTTGAAGATTTTGTGCGTGTAATTTTGCGTAATTGGGTGTGATTCATGCCCATAGGTATGTGTTTTTTCATCACTTTTCGTTTTGGACGTTTGGATTTTGGTAATTATTGTATTAGATAATGGTTATGGTTTGAAGAAGTTGAGGATGGCGGCTGGAGATTGTTAGAGAGAGAAAGAGGGGAGAGAGAGGAACTCAGCTGAAAAAAAAAAAAAAACCAAAAGTTAGCAATTTGTCATTTTACTGCAGAAGGAAACAAGCATACACTATGAGAGGACACTGCCAACAATCTTAACTGAACTCCAAAATAATTCAATTCCGACTCCCTCAGTCTCATACATCTAAATTTGAACTTTAAACATATAAATAAGTGATAATTGAGATTACCACAACTTTGTAACCAATCTCCCGCAATGCAACTGCAACACTAACCATCAGTATCGATCTGTAGCGGATCAACAAGTAAATGCGCAAACACCTACACATAAGAATTGAAAAAGAATAACTAAAATCACATGAAAAAAGAGCAAAAACAGTACCAAAAACAAGAAACTTCCCAAGAATTGAAAAAGAATGAATAAAACACGAGAAAAAGAATCAAAACCCAAGAAACAAATAAACACATTCAACATGACAATCCATACGATTAACAGCTGAAAATCAAACACATTCATAAGAAACGTATTGCAAAAGAAAACAAGATTGACAGGAAATAGGAATACATACCAATGCTTAGAAATCCCAATTTCAATAAACAATAGCAGAAACCAAACATCAAGTACATGAAGTTCCTTTGATCTTGTATGAAAGTTCTTCAGATACAAGGGCTCCAAATGCATAATAGTGTCTAGTTGAGACGGAGTAGATTTTCATCCTTGCTTCTTCCTCACTGAAAAACACAATAGGTACAAACAATAATAAATATAAAAAAAAATTAAAACAAAACCCGTACATACAAGTTAGCAGTTGCACAGAGAGAGGGGGGCAAGCTTGAGAGTTGAGAGCCAGTGGCTGAACCTTGCGAACGGCGAACCTGAACTGGAACAGCGGGCGATGGAAACTGAAAGATATGGGTTTTGATTTTTTGAACAATCTGGCATATCAGATATAGGTTTTGATTAGATAATAGGTTTTGAACTTTTGATTCGTGCAGACAGATAGATAAACTGAAATATATGGGTTTTGAACTTCTGATTCTTGTAGATTTTCTAGTTAGCAGTTGCAGGGGGGGGAAGTTCAGAGTTGAGAAAAGACAATAGAGATGGAGGCAATTGGGGAGTTGCAGAGATAGAGAGGGGGCAAGTTTAAAGTTGAGAACGAGAACAGAGATGGAGGCGCGCGATAGGGGAGTTGCAGAGAGAGAGAGGGGGCAAGTTCAGAGTTGAGACCGAGAATAGAGATGGAGGCGATTGGGGAGTTGCAGAGAGAGAGAGAGAGGGGGCAAGTTTAGAATTGAGAACGAAAATAGAGATGGAGGCGATTGGGGAGTTGCAAAGAGAGAGATGGAGGCGATTTGGGGGGGGGGAGGGGGGGCGTTGGTGTTCATTGTTGAGACCGAGAATAGAGATGGCCGCGATTGGGGAGGCTGAAAAGAAACTTAGGGCTCGGACGAGATAAGGTTAGAAATAAATGAAAAATTAAGGAAATAAATGAAAAATTAAGGAAATAAAAAAGTAAAATAATATTAGAGCGCCCAAATTTTCCCGCACTAAATTTCGTACTCATCAACGCTTTTTTAGCAAACGTTGGCTAAAACATACCTATACCAGCAGTTTATGCAAACATTGGTAATTACACAACACTAGCGCTCATTAAAAAAGCGCTGATGAATCCCTAATTTGTTGTAGTGTATGCTTTTGTCCCTACCTTTAATTAATAGAGAGAAATCTTTTATCACAAAAATAAAAGTGAGTAATTCTTAGAGGAATAAAATTAAGCCCTATCAAGTGCATAGGAGCGTATTATAGGCCTATAGTTATCAATAAAGCATTTATGCTCTTAAATTGCATTAGTTCAACATATTTATGGTGCAAGAAGAAATACATGGTTTGCGTGCTTTCCCTCCCGAATACAAACATTGGGCAAAAATAACCGAAACACAACATCGTTTGCATTCCTTGCATGCCACAGCAGCTAGCATAACGAAGAACAAAAATAATATATCTTCTTATGAATTTTCACAAGAAGTGATTGAAAGGCACGGTTCAAAAAGGGGAATAAATTTCAACAACTGAGTCATAGTAAAAAAATCTCAAACTTGACCCATATAATATGAGTTTTATAATTATAAATTTATAAGCAGTTAACTACCTCAAATTGCACAACTAGCTAATGTTGTCAATTTCTGTATAGTAATTGAATGGCTATGTCAAAAATATAGGAAAAATTAACAAGAGTCTTAAATAAGCTCACGCGTGAACAACACACGACGAGCTTCATAATTGGAAGAAGGTAATTGGCTCAAAATGCACAAGTTAACTATTATAATTGATTTCAGAACAGATAATGGATAGGTCAAATAGATTGAAAAAATGAAGCAGCTTCCATTCTAAAAAATGACCCCAGAAATATTGAACCAATATCACATGGTAACAAGCTCAAGGTGCATAAATATGTTTCTTAACAAATTAAAACAAAGGTAAATAAAACAAATTATCGCGCGCGCACACGCACACATATATATATTTCTTAACAAATTAGAAAGAGAGGATTTCAATATGGATACACAGATAGAGTTAAAACTCTACCAACAAAGTTAATGAGTAATGCCTCCAATGAACAGATATGAAAGAACAATTTGCACAACATCAAAAGAATAGACTTTAACAACTTGTAGTCACATATGAGTTGTGTTGTTATTATAATTGTACTATTAATATATACATACATCAAAAGGACAATGCGAACAAATCAAACATAAAAATAAAATTAAAATATCAACACGTAACTGAAAAAAAGACGATCTAAGTTAGATTGTGGAAGAAATATCTAGTCATCTCACATTTTATCACGTTGATCAGATAATTACAACACCTAAATGCGACGCTAACACTGAAAATCAATCCCAATTCCGTATAAAGCTCAAATAAGTATTTTGCACGTACCACAAGCTCATTGTTGCTGTAATTATTAATTTGTAACAAATTTTACTTAACCCGTGAACTCTGAAGCATGATAGCAACTTTTATTTAACCAATGACTTCATCCCATGAACCTGGGTCCGTAGCATGATTGCAACTTATTTTATATAGAGCTGAAAAAGTTTGTATAGAACCAAAAAAAAAAACGTGTCGGTAGCAAAGTTTTGTATAGGACAAGAAAAAAAAAAAAAAACCTTTAATGTATTGGACAAAAAATAAAAAACAGCTTCAAAGCCTGAAGCAAGAAGGCTTTAATGTACATTTTCCAAAAGGAAAGAAGACAACAACAAAAGCAGGTAGCCTGGTACAAAAAAACAAAAAATTGAAACTAAAATTCAATAAAGGTACATGATTTACACTCTGTTGGTGAAACTTGGAACTAAGTTTGTTAAGTAATATATGAATGCGTGATATTTTGTCCAAATGATATTGTGGTTGAAAATTATTTTGAGTGGTATATATTTGTTCATACATATATTTTTATGAACAAATAATTCATTATATCATAGATCAACTTGTAATTATATATGAGTTGTGTTGTTACTATAATTGTACTATTAATATATAGGTACATCAAAAGGACCATGTGAACAAATTAAACATAAAAATATAATTAAAAATGTACATATATTTTTAAGAACAAATAATCCATCATATCATGATCAATTTATAGTTACATATATTTTATTTGCATACAAATTTTTTTAAAAATAAGTATAATTTGATAAATAAGAGAAAAAGTCAGTACATATTAACAAAAATTGGGTCAGTGTAATTTACTATTGAAATTTTGAATTGTGACTTTAAAATTATAAAAATCTAAATAAAAAAGAAATTAAAGATTTTTGTGTGATAAGTTTCGACTTTTGACTATTTGTTAAGTAGAATAAAAACTTCTTTGACTTCGTATTCCAAAAATCAGTGCTTTACCAAATAATCATTCAATCCACTCCAAAGCAATTATCCAACCTAATACATTACTTGCACACCCACATTGCTCTTGATTATGAACCATCGACTATTGGACTCAGTGTCTTCACTTACATACAGCCCACCGAATATTTTACTCGTGCATATTTGATTAGGAATTAGGGGACAATGTAGTAGATTAAAGAAGCATCATCAATCACTAACCACAGTTGAGGTTTAATAATGGAAGTTAAAATTGACATGACAAGTTGTCATTTTCTTCTAATGGGCAAAGAAAGAAATGAGATCGCCACTTCTCATTTTCTAACTTTTTGATTTGAGTAGATTGGTGGTCTTGAAGAGCCTCTGCCTTAAGATATTTAGAATTTTCATCTTTAAAAAAATTGAAATTATTAAATCTAAGTAGACTATTTTCTACTAATAAAACTCTTATTTTCGTATTAATATTTTTTCAGGTCATAGATATTTCGTAAAAATAAAATATAATTTTTGTTTAAAATCTTTATTTTTCTAACTTGTTACTTTCTTCTAATAAAAATATAAACTAAAATAAATGATCAGTTAGGGTTAAAATAAACAAATTTTTTCAATTATAAATATTTCCTGAGAATAAATATTTTACGTGAGCTCTATTATTGTTCAATGGCATCTCTGTCACTGACTCCCTCTAAACTTCACCAACACCTCTCTGCACCTCATCAGACCTCCGTATATAGATGTTACTGGTTATCAATTAAATTCATAATTCCATACAACTCAACAGCTCTAAACAAGACAAACTCTAACCAATCAACTTTATGACCTCTTATACAGATGTAGAACTTGGAAGAGACTAGAGAGAAAGTGATGTAAAACCAAAGCAAACAAGTACTCTTCACTCTTTCTTTCACTTTCACGTGCATCGTAGAAGACAAATGCCCATCAATTTCAGATTCGAAAAAGCCAAAAAGGAACCCAGTACCATAAATTGGAATTATTGGATGAGTAACTCACATCGTCAATTTGGCACATTCACGGTCAGCCTAAGTCTTCAAGGTCCATGAAACCAGTTTTACATTTACTAATCATTCCATTCTTTCCGACGCCACTTCAATAAACGACACTCTCTCTATCTCCTTCGCCTTCGTCACCATTCACTCGATCTATATAAACCCATTACACTCTTTCACTTACATTACCAAACTCTGAGATCCGTCATTGCTCCTCTCTTTCTCTCTAGCCATGGCTACTTCATCCTCTTTCTCTCTTTCCCAAGCCCTCCTCTCTCGCTCTATACTCCACCATGACTCACCCCAGAACTCCTCAGACCGTCTCGCTCTCTTTGGGTTCAACTTCAGCTCCATCTCCTCTCTCGTGAACCCAGAGAGAGCGAGACGGTCTGAGGAGTTCTGGGGTGAGTCATGGTGGAGTATAGAGCGAGAGAGGAGGGCTTGGGAGAGAGAGAAAGAGGATGAAGTACCCATGGCTAGAGAGAGAGAGAGGAGCAATGACGGATCTCAGAGTTTGGTAACTGCTTATAAATTTATAATTATAAAACTCATATTATATCGGTCAAGCTTAAGATTTTTTTACTATGACTCAGTTGTTGAAAATTTATTCCCGTTTTTGAACCGTGCCTTTCTATCACTTCTTGTGAAAATTTATAAGAAGATATATTATTTTTGTTCTATGTTATGCAAGCTACTGTGGCATGTAAGGAATGCAAATGATGTTGTGTTGCAGTTATTTTTGCCTTATGTTTGTATTTGGGAGGGAAAGCACGCTAACCATGTATTTTTTCTTGCACCATAAATATGTTGAGCTAATACAATTTAAGAGCATAAATGCTTTATTGATAATTATAGGCTATTGATAATTATAGGCCAATAATACACTCCTATGCACTTGACAGGGCTTAATTTTATTCCTATAAGAATTACTGGCTTTTATTTTTGTGATAAAAGATTTCTCTCTATTAGTTAAAGGTAGGGACAAAAGCATAGATTTAGTTATTGGCCTATAATACACTCCTATGCACTTGATAGGGCTTAATTTTATTCCTATAAAAATTACTTGCTTTTATTTTTGTGATAAAAGAGTAGGGACAAAAGCGATTTATTACTCGAACTTCAAGTAGCTCGATAAAATTTCCTGTATAAGGGCATCATACCAGAAGGAAATTTTACCGAGCTACGAGAAGGTTCAAGTAATATAGCTTTGAGCTTTTTCCTTTTTCTTCCCGTCATATCCAGTCCAGTTGCAAGAACCACCACATCAGCCCTCAACCTAGTGTTGTCTTCCAATTCAACCCCTCCTTCCCAGAACCACCATTTTGATGCTCTTTTGAATGCAATGTTTCCCTTGTCAGCCTCATCGAAGAAGTTTTCTGGCAAGATAGCCATTTTACAAGAAGCATAATCTTCCTCAAATGGGTGATCTGGTTTCAATCCATACTTCTCCAATGGAAGTTAGAAGAGGTACTGCAT